AATTACAATATAATTAAAAAAAAGTAAGAAAATCACGTGTAGCTTACAGACGTTTTACAGATCAAGACAGTACGGTTTGATGTAAGACGTATAAGGGCACAGTAATCAATGCATGCATAAAAAAGACATGAAAACTTAATCCAGTAATACTGCACAGTAAAATAGAAATGAGACGTAAATTTGTTTCAGTTTAAATTAGTTTAAATAAAGAAATAATAATGAATCCAATATTAATACGTAAATGCAACAAACAAGAACAATGAGAAACAAGGCGGTAACATTTTTTGAACATGCTAAGTGATGTTATGTGCAATTGAATGTTTCATTTTCTAATTTCTCTTTTCTAAATATTTGTGTATATAGTATAAAAACATTTTCAACTCCAGACACTGATTATTTGCTTCGCTTAAAAAATAACGAAAATTAAAATTTTATAAATGATGCGAATGAATCTTTCACACTAAACGCACCGATGTGTTGAAACTAGTATCTGATATGTTATAAAAATTATGAAATTGAACTTATTTAAATTTTTTATGATTTTTATAGTAGTGTATATCTGAATAAATTAAAAAATGCGGTAGTACGTTTAGTGTCAAGCGATCGGAATATAAATTTTTAATACAAGGTACTTTTGTGAAAAAACTAGACTTTTTACCATTTTACAGCAAATCTGCTGTAGAGTATATTTTTCATCGATAAAAAATGGTTAAGCACGCAGGTGCACACTTTCAAAATTAAACGAAACACGTAACTCGTTGAAGAGGTAAATGCAACAAAAATTGTAAAAGAATTTGAAACTTTTTTCGACATCGAGCAAAATTGGCAACATTCTAAAAGTAAAAAGTATGTTCTCGGGAGTGTACTTCTCAGTATTTACAGTGGCTAACGACAGTTTTCGAACACTAGTATAATTTTGACTTCTACGCCATATATCTATATATATATAAATAAATATACATACATTGAAAGGAAAAATCCTTCACGGTATATTAAAGTAGAATATATAAATGTCAAAATACAAGAAACTTTCGATTTAGTAAAAATCGTTACCTACAGAATTAAAAAAGTATAACTTTACCAGCTAATATTGATGTAATATGTGAATAATCAAATTCAAAAATCAACAAATTATAATTACGCGCGTCTTATAAATTCCCATACAGTGAATTCAGTCGTCATACTACAAAATACATACTATAAACAAATCATAACACCATCGATCATAAATAAATAATAATTTTTAAACTGTCAAACTTCTTGAAACATATTGTTAAAGTACGGCAGGCGGTTACCCAGTAATGAAGATAACAGTTTCATTTGAAAAAGGTTTTTAATCGTAAGTGAATTCGATAAGAAAGATAATCGCGTTTATACCAAGTATATTTAACACTACGATTGTCACCCCAACAACCTCAAGAATTTAATACAATCAAANGTTCGAATACTTATGTGGCATGAAAATTCGATGTCTATTTATATTTTTTTAATTATGTAAGTAACGTTTTATGCTGAATCGAAAATTTTTTGTATTTTGACATTTATGCAGATTGTGCTAAACTTATGATCCTTCCAGGAAATGAATTACATATATAATAATAATTTATACCATGAACATATTTAATATAAAGGTTTGATTTAAGTATTTTTTATTTTAATATTCATAAAATACAAAAATAATTAGTACATTTTGAAACATAAGTATAAGTAATTTATATGAAAATACATCAGTTCAATTTAATTTTCGTCATCAATAGGAGTGATTAAGTCCTCGGAAATCGTGTTTTGTTTCAAATTTTTAAAATAACTGTGGTATATTGGGGGTATATAATTAAGCAAGTCCATCATGTCTTTGTATTTTGCTGAAGAAACAGGACGAGATCCAGCGTATAACGGATCCATTTCTATTTGTGAATAACGCCTAGGTCTTCCTCTTTTTGGTGACAAATCCAAAGTTAGAAATTCATCTTTCTCATCTAAAGTTAGTTTATAAAACATTTTATAACCATCTGCTGACGGGTCTGGAGATAGCCGCCACATCACTATAATATAATTTCCAAAACTGCACTATTCTCTTTCGCACTTATAAAAATAAGTCCAGTGATCACAACTTTTTTAAAAATACTGAAAAGAATTCAAAACAATACTTCACACACACACTTATCACACGTTTCTATTTCTTTTACACTAAGCCCTGCAATTAATTTCCTGAGTACATTGACTTACGCCACTTTCAAAATAAACATGTTTGTTATACCGTTAATTAGCAAAACTTCTCTCGAACAAATCTCAATAGTTCTCAACTTATTGATTGCAAATTTGTTTAAAATGAAAAGATACCGTTCAATTGTAATTAGTGTTACCATTAACTCGATTTTTTTGAAAAGATGACTTATGCCACTTTCAAAATAAACGGCTCATATACAGATAGAATTTAGCAATAGAAACTAAGTGGGTAAGCGCTCTGACAGCGTCGGATGAGAAATGAAAGTGAAAATTGAGAAGGACATGGAAACGAACAGTAAAAAGTATCGAAAAAAATAACTCACGAACTGTCTCTAAAAAGAGTAAAAGTCCGAGCGTTTATCTATTATATTTGCCCAGTGTCGCTAACTCGAGTGAAATAATTATCGGACCCGTGACAAGTCTGTGATCGGAGCCCCACTTTAAAAATTGCATCACTTTTCTTTAACCATCCGCTCTCACACTTCCAATACCAAGCACACTTACAATTTTCAAACAGCTGCCACTCAAAACCTAACAATATTATCAAGATGCAAGCATTAGAGAATATAGCTTCAAGTTTCTAAAAGATCTTTTCCTTTATTAGAACTCGATATCTCATTTTCAATGGATATTGAATTAATTATTAATTTCACTTTTCCGAAATATGAAATGTGAGTCATTTTGACCCAGTGTTAAAGCGGAGACGTAACAAAAAAGACAAAACATATAAAACGTTTAATCTTTAAGTGAAGAAAGTGTACAATAAGTTCAATGTTCGATTCATAAACACCATACAAAATACAAATATTAAGCTCTTGCACTCGAATGTCCCATCTCAAAGGACATACGAAGACAGCTGGTAATCACGTTAATTTCAAGGTTAACAATTTTGGTTCTATACAATCGGTACAAATACAATATT